GTTTGAACTTTAACATAAGATAACGATAAAAAAAATTCATATATCTTTAAAGCCCAAACGATTTCAACGTGAGTTTTCAAAATTTAATAATAAAAATGTCCTAGTTGATGTTGAGACATGAAGAATTGCAATAATAAGAACATGGGCTGTTTACGCAATTAAAAGGATAATGCTTCCACGACCACTTATATGTCTTTTGTTCACTTTCTCTTTTTATATAACATATGATTGTAATGGGCAATGGGACCTCTCCAGTCTCCACAGATACATTTTAGATTCCAATTATTATCATTTACGACCAATTATCATCTTTCCTGCTAATGCTTTACATACAGGGAACCTTCTGAGACCCGATGGTGTTTAGATTATTGTATTGGTAATTCATCAAATCTGATTCTTTTTATCTCATTTTTTTCTCCCTCATGGGATTCTGTAAATCATAAAGGTATATATCACACTATCACAGTATTTTATTTAACATTTTACACAAAAAAATATATCACAGAATTTGTCCCAATTGATTTGATTTTGAATATGCATATTTGTCAGCAGCCGCCAGCCCGTAAGAATTATTAAATTTGACATTTGTATTCACATATTAATTACTTATATTAACATTACCCTAAAATTTTCAATTGCAGATTATAAAATTCTATAATATATCATATTTTCGTGAAAGAATCAGTCCAACAATTACATATATACATGAATTATGTTTGTAAAACGGATTAAATTTAAAATCACTTAATGAAGTTTGTAATTAGCTGGATCTTAGTAATTAGTTGGATCTCTCCACGTGGGAGTTCCATGCCGTATGAGTTGGAAACAAAGGATATGAAAGGAAAGTTTCCATTTTAATTGTTTCAACCTTTCAATGGCAAATGCGATTTCAATACTGAAGAAAAAGAGAGTTGAGTTAGTTTATAACCCAACTTGGTTCAGTGGAACGTACCGGGAACGTTACTAGTAGCAAAGAAGAAGGAACAATAATTTTGTTTAAAACCCAACTTGGTTCAGTGGAACGTACCGGGAACGTTGCTAGTAGCAAATAAGAAGGAACAATAATTTTAACTTTTAAGGAAAAACCCAACTTCGGCAATTAAGATGATTATTTTTTCCGTAACATGTACTGATGTACATATACATATATACATAGATAATGTGTCATCAGTTATCTCTGTTATATCTTTTTTTTTGTTTGTCGCTAGTACCTAGAACTTAATCCAAATCGGAGATACCAAATTCGCATTAATGACACATTATCTATGTCCAAGCTTTAGCAGTTAACACATTCTTCATTCAGATCGAAGTGAATCACGACTCAAAGTGAATCTAAATGAAAGATAGAGTGACTTGGATCAGAGAAAAATTGTCAAATAACATTTTAATATTAAGGAAGGATTCAGGACAGTTAACCAAGTGGAAATAGATCTTTTAGTGCATGGCTAAGTAATAAAACGGAAGTTGTATAAGTGAATATTTCATCAAAATGAGACAAAAGTCATGAACATGTTAAATGACTACTATATTAGTCATGAACATGTTACCATTGAAGGGCAAGAGATGATGAAAAAGAAAAATAACATGAATTGATCATGATCAAGAGGATGGTCGAGTGTAGATTCAAGGCCTAAAAGAGAACACAAGAAAGAGGGACCCAAGTTTGAGAATATTATATTTTTAATTCGAGAGAGAAATAGAACGAGGGGATCACTTGGATCGGAGAGAAACCAAATGTGTCCAATGGGTTCTTTACCCATGTCTCACGACTTGAATGGCCAATAACCGAAATTTACCACCAACAATATATACATGAGATAAGAGACCTAGTCCGAAAGAACTGTGAACAAGATCGATTCTTCTGAACATGTGACTAAGTCTAATATTAAAATAGTATTTTTTTTTTCAATGTATAATCCCACTATTGTAAAGGATTAGCCTACATAAAAATCTATTTTTGAGCCAAAGACAGTTAGTAACCCACATGAAGTGATGTCAAAGTGACTCAAAGTGCCTATACATCTTAGTGATTTCGAAAGAACCTTACTAGAATTAGTATAAAAATACCACAGGACAGACAGCAACTAAGAAAAAAGAAATATGTTAGCCAAATTCTAGTTATATCGGGTTGTTGATAATGAAAAAGAAGTTATATCGGGTTTAATTTGAGGTTTATATGAAAGAATTTAGCATTTGTATTGTTTATTCAAAAATTAAAAAAAACCCCAAATGAAAGAGTAATTTGCCCAAAATTTCGATTCTTTCTTACTTTGTTAAAGTTCTTTACCCTACTCGGATACTGATGAAATACTAACTCAAAGATTCTCTCAAAGAAAGAAAATTAAGGGAGAGAGAGGGGGCGAGTTGCATGATTTAATTAAAATACAAACCCAACATTATGGGACAATACAAATCCATGACACTAGCCCATGTATTTTAGGGTTTCTAACAAGATAAATTTATACATACATATGTTTAATTATATTAAGAGATAAAATTTTGGGAATTGCTACTTTGTGCAAACCACTGCTTCCAGTTTCATTGTATCAATCAATAATCATTTTAATATTAGTTTTATTAATTTAGTCTTCCCATTTCCTTAATTTTCTTGCACAATAAAGCATTGAATGAGCTATCTCATTTTTTTTTGTCGATTAATGGATTATATTAAAGTGCAATGCGTAAGGCTGATCTCCTGATCTTTTACTTCTTCTATTTTATAAAAAAGTTTTATTTTAACAAATTTCACACATCTTAGAAGAAACTTTAAAGTTATACTAATATATAATCCTCTTTAATCTATTAACAATTAATTCAAATGACTTAAGTAGAAAAGTTATTAGTTTTGAGTAATGGACAAATTTGAAAACTAGTTTAAAAAGTAGCATTAAAAATGCAAAACGTTTGAAACATAAAGATAACTCTAAAACGAATTTGTGCAACAAAGTGAATAATCTATATAATGTCTTAAAAGCATGAACTTTATTAAATATGAACTTTATGTTTGTGGAATAGAGTTAATTTGTAACATCTAAATATTTAAATATGAAAATGATATTTACATTCTTAGCAAAACATGAATCTAGCATTGAAATCTGCTAAGAAATTCCATTAGTGATTTTTTATGATTGGAACTTGAAAGCAAGAAATACGAATGAACCATTCGATTTTAGTTAGGATAAAGAGTCCGGTGACCAGCGAATATCACAGTGAAACCGACCGCTTCTCAACCTCCAATCCACGTTTTAAGAATTAATAGCCTTCCAGAGAACACAGGATTAAGCGCGTGTAACCACGCGCGGCGATTTTCTTTCCTCTCTTCTTTCCTCGATCTCCTCTTTCCTCACCTTTTTCTTCGCGTTGCTCGGCGGTTTGCTCTAGCGATTCCGGGGCTGTGAGGGAACCCACGTTTCTTTTGATCCCCGTCTGCTCTTCAATAATGGAAAGAAAGACTTCTCCGGTGATATTTGGAAGCGATTTGAGTGGCTAGGTGATTCTGGTTTTGACAGCTGGGTTTTTCCAGATCTGGACCTAGAGAACGTGGTTCGGTGATGGAGTCTTGCTCGTTTGTGCAGGCGGTGTTGACCGGTGTTTTACACGTCGGTGTGGCGAAACCTTGGCCTTGGGTCAGTGTTGGGCGAGTGGGCTTGCGATAGGTTCTTGTCGGATGTGGCTGACTGTGGTAGCGGAGCCGCCCATGGACAGTGGCAAAGCGAAGCGGCAGAGTTTTTCCAGCTTGTCTCCTTCCAATTAGTAGGGGTGGGCACTTTGGTTTATTTTCAGGTTCGGTTTGAGTTCGGTTCGATTTGGTTTAATTCGGGTTCAATAAAATTTTAATCAAATTCAACTGAAATAAGTTTGGTTCGGTTTGAATTCGGTTTGGTTTAGTTCGATTTGGTTTTAGTTTGGTTTAATTTGAATTCAATTTTAAAAAAATCAGTTTGAAGAAAAGAAATGATGTGTTGGTTTAGGTGAAATTTAACATTCCACCATATTTCAAAAAACTAATATTATGATCTAACTAAAGTTAAATAAAATAAGTATATTAGTTTTTTGGTTTGGTTCGGTTTAAAATCAAACCGAACCAAACTGTTTGGGTTGTGAAAAACTTCAACCAAATGGGTTATATATTAAAAATGGATCGGTTCAGTTCAGTTTAAATTCAATTGGTTCGGTTGGTTTAGTTTGGTTCGGTTTTTTTGCCCATTCCTACCAATTAGCCTTTCCCATCTTGCCCCTCTTTTCATCTGTGGTTGTGGTTGGGGTGAGCTGCGCGGCGTCTCGTCTTAATCAGAGTTTAAAGAGGTTGTGGTAGTCTCGGCTTTTCGCAATTCTCTATCAGTGGTCATGGGCCGTTCTGGGCTAGGTCGGAAGTAATTTACTAATAGCAGAGGTTTTCTGGTCCGATTGCTCTTCGTTGGAGGTCTTGATCCGGCGAAGTAGAGAACCGAGAGCGGTGGTTCTCCCTTGGCGGACGCGTCGTTTTAGATTTTCTTTCATTCAGTTTGTCTCCGGTTTGTTTGCTTCGGTTTGATTCCTCTTTTTAATTTCGATTATATCTAGTTAGCCCGATTTCCCAAACTTATTCGGGTTTTGGTTTGGGTTTGTAATCCAGTTTACTAATATATTATTAAAAGAAAATTAATAGCCCTCCAACTGAGAAAGATGTGTGTGCAAAAAGGAACTGGTGGTACTTAAACGATTCTGACGTCGTCGGTCACAACAACACTAGAGAGTAGAGTTATTCGGATAACCAAACAACACAAAAAAATTGTTATCCAAGTAACCAAACACCACATTACTTGCCTTAACGCGCTCTCAAGGGAGAATTTGGTCTGTGTGTGATGGTTCTTTCTTCATCTTTACTTTTGGTGTTTGTGGCAATAAAATAAACTAAAAACAAAATTATTAACTAAATTAAATAAATAAAGAAAGATCCGAGTTCTCGGAACAGATACATTGCATGTAGATTTCAACCAAAGTATAAAAACCATATCTTGACCTCACACTGACCGATCATTTCCCTTTCCCTTTTTTTTTCTTCTCTCTTCTCTCTCTCTACTTTTTTTTCCCTATCCGATAGGGTTTTCTTGATCTCTCTCTCTCTTCTCGTATCTTTGATCTTCATGTTCATCTCTTTCTTCAATACAATAGAAGCTGATTTGATCGTCTTCTTCTTCTTCGGATCTCTCTTTTTTGCTCTCTCCCAAGGGTTTTCGCTTGAGAAATCAAGCGCTTTCGTTTTTCCTGGGAAGTTTGAGCTGAAAACATGTCTCAAATCTTTAGCTTTGCTGGTAAGTTTTCCTGATCTTGGATTTGATCTTGATCCTTTTGATTTCTTTGTTTAGATTTTAGGTGGTAGAATCGGTATGTAGATGAATTGATTCTTCCTAGGTGTTGATGGGTTAAAAATTAGATAGATCTGTGCTCAAGTTTCGTCTTTTTTATTATCTATAGATTCATAATTTTTGGAATCTCACTGGATCTGGAATTGAATTTGATCGAAGTGAAGCTCTTGTTTAAAGCTAAGATCTTTAATCACTTTGGCTCATAAAGATCTCTCCTTTTTGGTATTTGTTTCAGGTGAGAATGATTTTTACCGTCGTGGAGCAATATACCCAAATCCCAAGGAAGCTAACCTTTTGCTCTCGCTTACTAGTCTCGTGGATTGTTGCTATTACCCTCCTTGCAAGAGGTCTCGCGTCGTCGCTACCGCACCGTCTCTCTTCAGTGCTTTCGAGGCCAAGCCAGTGTCTATTGATGTGCTCCCAGATGAGTGCCTCTTTGAGATTTTCAGGCGTTTACCTGGACCGCAAGAGAGGAGCGCTTGCGCTTCCGTCTCGAAACACTGGCTCACACTTGTGACTAGCATCAAGCAAAACGAGATCGGTGCTGATCTTTCAAACAAAACCGAAGATGGTGATGATTGTGAAGGATGCTTATCTAGGAGCTTAGATGGGAAGAAGGCAACTGATGTTAGACTAGCTGCGATCGCTGTCGGAACAGCTGGTCGCGGTGGACTTGGGAAACTGTCTATCCGAGGAAACGATTCCACTAGCAAGGTTTCGGATCTTGGTCTTAGATCGATTGGTAGGAGCTGCCCTTCTCTTAAGGCTGTTTCCTTGTGGAACCTTTCTACCATTACTGACAATGGTCTCTCGGAGATTGCTCAAGGTTGTCCTCAGCTTGAGAAGCTTGACCTGAGCCGTTGCAATACAATCACGAACAAGGGTTTGGTAGCGATTGCTAAGTGCTGTCCTAACTTGAGTGAGCTGACATTGGAGGCTTGTTCGAGAATCGGAGACGAGGGTCTGCAAGCCGTTGCAAGATCCTGCTCCAAGCTGAAGTCGGTGTCTATCAAGAACTGTCCTCTTGTCAGGGATCAAGGAATCGCCGCATTACTGTCTAACACCACCTATTCCTTGGCTAAGCTTAAGCTTCAGATGCTGAATGTCACTGATGTGTCTCTTGCTGTTGTGGGTCATTACGGCTTGTCTATCACTGATCTTGTGCTGTCTGGACTGTCACACGTGAGCGAGAAAGGATTCTGGGTTATGGGAAATGGCGTTGGGCTCCAGAAGTTAAACTCTTTAACCATCACAGCTTGCCAGGGCGTTACTGACACGGGGCTTGAATCTGTGGGGAAGGGATGTCCGAATATGAAAAAGGCGTTGGTCAGTAAATCTCCATTGTTGTCCGACAACGGTTTGGTCTCATTTGCAAAAGCTTCTTTGTCATTGGAGAGTCTTCAGATTGAAGAGTGCCACAGGGTCACCCAATTTGGGTTTTTTGGTTCTCTTTTGAACTGTGGTGCAAAGCTGAAGGCTTTCTCTCTGGTGAAGTGTTTGGGTATTAGAGATCTCACCACGGGATTGCCTGCTTCAACTCACTGCAGCGCTCTCCGCTCTCTGTCTGTACGTAATTGTCCTGGCTTTGGTGATGCAAATCTTGCAGCCCTTGGGAAGCTGTGCCCTAAGCTCGAGGATATTGAGCTCTACGGGCTCAAGGGGATAACGGAGTCTGGTTTTCTACATCTTCTTCAGAACTCTCTTGTGAAGGTGAACTTCAGTGGTTGTTCTAATTTGACAGACAAAGTGATCTCTGCCATCTCTGCTCGTAACGGTTGGACTCTTGAAGTCTTGACCGTCGATGGATGTAACAAGATCACCGACGCTAGCCTGGTCTCCATTGCAGAAAACTGCCAGATTCTCAGTGATTTGGATCTTTCGAAATGCTCAATCTCAGATATTGGGATTCAAGCTTTGGCTTCCTCTGACAAGCTGAAACTTCAGATCCTATCCATGTCAGGTTGCTCTATGGTCACAGACAAGAGCTTGCCAGCCTTAGTGAGGTTAGGTTCAACTTTGTTGGGATTAAATCTTCAACAGTGTCGGTCTGTGTCCAGTTCCACTGTCGACTTCTTGGTCGAGCGGCTTTACAAATGCGACATCCTCTCCTGATCCACAATTCCACGGTCGATTTCTCCACCACCTATATGATGAAGGTATTTTAGTAAGTGTCAAGCTCTTTTTCAGGCTCTGTGTGATCTATGCGTCTCCTCTCGCTAGGCTCGGTATCCTCTGTTTTTTTCCCAAGTAGTTCGGCTTCCGGTTTCTTTTTCCAGTCAATGTTGTTTTTGCAGGGTTTCCTTTAACCAGGGAAACTCTTGCTTATCACGGAACCGGGACGTCGTGTGGTTGCTTGAGAATATACTTACCGGGTATTTCGAGATTTTAGGGTTTATCATCTCCTGTTGGTGTCTTTTACGAGCCTAATCTTTTCTCGTTTTCTTTGCGTCGTTTGTTCTTGTTTAAGTTTGGTTTTCCTCAAAAAGGGTCTTTTGTGTGGTTTGTACGTGTTCAAGATTTGTTCAGGTGTCTTGGGTTCTCTCTTTAGAGGTTTGATCTGGCTTTTGTTTCAACAAACTCGATTAAGAGTTTTTTTAATGTTGTTTTTTTGCCAGAGCCCTCGTTCTTTTTTCTTCCAAGGCAATGTATTACGAATCTGTATGAACAATGTACTAAGTTATGTAATGCCCTTTGGAATGGTTTAATGAGTATTGAATAAAATTCTCATTTCGTTGTATAATACAAAGTTTTGTATTTCTTTTAGATAATATTCTGCGAGATATGAGAAATTATTGCACCTTGATTTATGGGACAGAGAATCAGATTGAATGTGAAAACTTGAGATTTACGTTTGTTTGTGTCCAATCAAAAATGAAATGTGGTGTTCAGTGAATGTGGTCAAGGAGAAGAATCTGGCCAGCGATTCTCTCGATATGATATGATTTGAGTGGGATTTAAATAAAGATTGAAAAGGAGTGTCATTATTGTGAGTATTCGTTGTCGCTATTATTGTTATTGTGGACTAATCTTGATAATTAATTAAGATGGGGCCAGGTTTTCCGACTTATGATCCCTTAAAGTGGAGACAGAGAATCATTGTGAGTTGCGCGTTCTTGTTCACATAACCTTGACCGTATTATCAAGTACAGAGTCCCAAGCATCTAGAAATAAAGATGGCAGAACGGTTATTTTAACATTTTACAGTTGGTCACGGTCTCAATCTGAACCTATACTTATAACTTGTGCGCAAACATATCTACACTTGAAAACACTTCAAACAACGGACTGATTCATATTACTTATTCTACTAGTCCACTGTTTCATCGTCGTTATAGTGTAGCTGAGGATTCACGTACATCAGATTCATCGTGGGGCAGCTGCCACCAGTAAAAATTTAATTTTTTTGGTAATTTCTTGAGTCTGAGCTTCTATCAATTGTTATCACCAATAAAAATATGTTATATATGCCCCCAGTAAAAAACCAAATACAAAAACATTTTATATATGTCCCCAGTAAAAAAAATTTCTAGATCCTTCACTGAGCTGAGTCACAATTTATCGAAAAATATGGAAGACCAAGATGACGTTTGTTGTGGTTAATTTTTTAATCCAAAACGACTTTAGGCTGTTTGAAGAAAATGTGTTCTTCCACTAACATAGAGAACTTATTCATCTATCGTCTCAAATTTTCTGTCATAGGTAATAACAAAAGAAATGTCATTATGGAGGCTAAAAAAATATATCAATTCACAATTTAATCGAACACATAGTATGCATAAATTCATGTATCTAAATATTCAAGAAACATATACCCACAAGCATTCAAAATTTCAAATACACTACAGTTCTATAATCCTACCCAAAATTAATATATATATATATATATATATATATATCCAGAATCGAATTTGTATAATTAGTTTCTCTAAACAAATTTCATTAAAATTACCTCATTTTTCCGACTTAACAACAACTAGACTCAAGGCCGTGCGTCCACACGAGAACTATTTTTATTTGTATAATATAATTTTTATTTTCTGTTTTGTTTATATATAATTTTCTAATAAGTGATAAAAAGTTTATGTTTAAATATAATTTTTTCTTGAATTATTTTTTCTAGTATTATATATGACCGCAATTAGAAAAATATTATTCTAATCCATCCGTTCATATTAATCTGAAAAGTACCACAGTTAAAAAACGTCATTATAACAGGCTCATTTATATTAATCCAAAAAATCGAAATTATTAAAACATTTAACATGTTCATTCATATTATTTATATATTTTAAATATTTAATAAATTTAAATATTTATAAAAATATACAATAATATATTATTTTTAACTCTGTCATTGAAATATTATTTAAATTTGAATATTTAAATTAAATTTAAATTAATATCTGAGTTATTATTTTGTAAAAGTATAATAATAATGTATTTTATAATTTTTGATAATATAACTTATATTTAAAGAAATTTTTGATAAATATAACATAATTAACAGTTATCCAAAAACAGAATAGTTGGAAATTAAGTAAAACTTCTGTTTGGACACAAAACACACTTTTCTTTTAACAGTATAGATATATTTATCAATCAGATTATAATATTTAATAACTTGGAGATTTATTAGCTGAAAATCTAATGAAAACATATATAATGTGGAATCTATTTTTTTTTTTTGAAAATTGTGAAATTTAATTAGACAATGATGAAACAAATATTTTTTAAAAATATTTTATATTACATTTCAGATTAAACAACTCAGTCGGATTTTGGCAAACTTCAGAAGTCTATCAAGCCAGATTTCTGCTTACAATTAAACCTTTATAAATTAATAATATCAAAACTAAAATATTTTATTAATTTATTATGATAATTAATTTATCTATAAATTAATAATTTATAAAGAGAAATTATTTTTTGGGTATCTTTTTTTAAAAAATTTTCTTCAAATGATGTTATATTTAAGAATCTAAACAAATTTCATTGTAAAATGACATGAACAAAATTATGATTACCATATTAGCAATCACAGCAAAATAGTTGTTTCTGTTTGTTAATTGTAAACTAAATTATCTATGTTAGAATATACTAGTAGAACTATTATCTTTAAAGTTAGTGATAAAATGGAAGACGATACCAAAAATAATATTTGGAAACAGCTATGAGTCAAAAAATCAATGATTACATCTAAAAAATTTTCACACATATTAAAAAAATAACACTAAAAGCTATTAATATAAATAAGTAAATATATGAATTTCAATGAAATTTTAACTTTAAATTAAAACAAACAACATATTAGTCATATTTAACATATTATCTTATATATATACATAAATTTATATAATTATTAATTTATATTTTAATTGGAACCATATATTTATATAAAAATTAAAAAATAATTATTATTTTATAGAATTTGATGGATTTTTACATTGACCTGATCTGTGATTAGAATTTTTTTATATATTATAATTGATAAAGTAAAAACTTAATGACTTTCAAATAGTTTTAGGTAGAAAATGGAGTTCTTTTTGTTTCTGTTGGATTTAAAATATAATTTTTTAAATTTATTTTTTAAAAATCACATATAATTAAAAAATCTTATAAAATAAAAGAGGATTTACAGAATTAAAAGGAATTATAGGCTATATGGATAATAAATTTTAAAAGATGTTAGCCTAGCAAATCTTAAATAATGTTTTTCAAAAGTCGATTACATCGACGCAATATTAAACATAAGTATTAAGTAAATCAATTCAACCGAATCTAAACGAAACCAATTATAAATTATTTATTTGGTTTTAGTCTTTATAAAACAGACCATAAATCGAAGAAACTCCACCGAAACACACTTTAATGCCTAAACTAGGATGTCCACTCCTATGTATTCATGTGATCTTTTTGTATATATTTTCCTTTAAATTCTTACAGAACTTCATTCAAATTTTCCATATTTAGGGATTCAATGCCTAAATTCCCTATGATACGTTTAAGATTTTATATTTAATTTATTTAATCAACTGAAATGTATTAAATGAACAATATACTTATGAAAGGCGTAAAACGTCAAAATATATTAATTAAAAAGTTACTAATAATAACACTAATGACAATCGATCACTATAATTACACACAACAATCCTAACTACTGCCATAACACAAAAGAAAAAAACATTAAAAAGAGCTTAACACAAACTAAAAATGGAGAATAAACCCATTTTCATGGCATTCGTTTCCATCATGGTTTTGCTATCGTTTTCTAGTCCAACTTTGGCCATAGAACACGATGAGGACAAGCCGCTACTCAATTCAGACAAGGAGTTTGATGCAGCGATGGCAAATTCACCGAGTTCATGTGATTATAATCGTGACATGATCGAAAGTCAGTCAAAAAAACATCTCGACTATCTTATAAATTGTGGAGAAAAAATGGGACCTGATTCAGTGAAATGTAACATTGAAGTGAGGGCAGAGATTCTTCGGAACAAAGAAGCTTCAAAGGATTGTTGTCAGATGATAGTGAAAGCTGGCAAGGAATGTCACATTGAATGGATGAAGTTGTTTTTCCAAACCTATCAACTCAAACGCTTTAGTTCCAAAAGAATTTTCAAAACTAACGAAATATGGAACAGATGTTCTAATGAAGTTGGATCTATTTAACCAATTTCTGGTTAAAAAATCGTAATCAATGGTTTAAATTGACTGTATTATATCACCGATATATATTATAATAATTATATTAATATATGTTATATATAAGATTATAACAATAATTTATTAAATATTTCACCATTTTTATGTGAGTATGGAAACCGAATTAAAATCAAACATTGCAGATCTTTTGTTGTAGACTGTTTTATGGACTTTAAATTCATCGTATCTATGGTCTAGCTGTAATGTAATGGAGCTTACCACAAATATACGACATTTTCGTGGCGCTAATAATGATGACATGCGTGAAGTGGAAACGTTTTCGAGATGGATTTTTGATATTTGTAATGTCAAGATAAATTAACTAATGGAGAGGTGGAGATCGGCGTTCAAGATAACTGAACCAAATCAATGGTTTAAATTGATTGTATTATACCACCGATATATATTATAATAATTATATTAATATATGTTATATATAAGATTATAAAAATAATTTATTAAATATTTCACCATTTTTATGTGAGTATGGAAACCAAATTAAAATCAAACATTGCAGATTTTTTGTTGTAGACTGTTTTATCGACTTTAAATTCATCGTATCTATGGTCTAGCTGCAATGTAATGGAGCTTACCACAAATATACGACCTTTTCGTGGCGCTAATAATGATGACATGCGTGAAGTGGAAACGCTTTCGAAATGGATTTTTGATATTTGTAACGTCAAGATAAATTAACCAATGGAGAGGTGGAGATCGGCGTTCAAGATAACTGAACCTAATCAATGGTTTAAATTGATTGTATTATACCACTGATATATATTATAATAATTATATTAATATATGTTATATATAAAATTATAACAATAATTTATTAAATATTTCACCATTTTTATGTGAGTATGGAAACCGAATTAAAATCAAACATTGCAGATCTTTTGTTGTAGACTGTTTTATCGACTTTAAACTCATCGTATCTATGGTCTAGCTGCAATGTAATGGAGCTTACCACAAATTTACGACCTTTTCGTGGCGCTAATAATGATGATATGCGTGAAGTGGAAACGCTTTCGAGATAGATTTTTGATATTTGTAACGTCAAGATAAATTAACCAATGGAGAGGTGGAGATCGACGTTCAAGATAACTGAACGTAATGATGAACCGCGATCCTAAGTTTATCCAAGGAACTAAGGAAGCGCTATACTGCGTCCACATAATCAAGATGTTGATACGATTAATGAGTTTATGTTACCCCAGATTGCAGGTATGATTTTCGATCTTTTTTTTATAAATGTGTTGTTATCTGTTAAAATTATAGTGTATGATTTAGTTTTCCTTTTCTTTTTTTTTGGTAGTGACGGCGCACATATATCTTAGTTTCCATAGTATTGTTACATCGGATAAAAACAAAATTGATGAAATGGTTTACAATCAAGAATATTTCAATAACATTATCTGGTTTGCAGTACCGTGATTAGAGTATTAGAGGCCTAAGGCAAATGACAAGAAAAAATTTCTATTTTACTTTAATTATTTCTAAAAAAAATAAGTTGTAAATCAGATTTAAATATTATTTTATAAGATATTATAAAGTACTAATGCTTTTTTATTAATTTACAATAAATTTTCAACCACAAAAAATAACACAAAATATATCTTAACAAATATATTAATTTTCTTTTTTTTTGGACACCAACCAATATACTAAATAAAAATACAAAAATTAGGAGCCCTAAAACTTACTTAATATTAAAGGGGCCTAAAACAAATGCCTAATTTTTTGTTCATTAAGCACAGCTCAGCTGGTTTGCCACACGATTTGAGGTTGAAATTGGTGATTTTATTATGTTATTTCAGAATATAGATTTTAAAGGTATTTGTGAAATTGCTCAAAGTTGCTTATTATTTAATTTGCTAGACACGTGATTGAAGCTAGCCTCATTAGGAGTGATTTTTTTTTTTTTGTGTCGTCATTAGGAGTGATAATGTCGAATAAAAAGTATTAATGTTGGAAAAGTTCTTCTTCTTTTTTTTTTTTTAAAAAAAAAAACCCTAGCCGCTCGCCGGCGTCGGGATGTAGTCGTCTTCGTTCAGCTTCCGTGTCCTCTCACTTGCTCTTGTCGTCAATTTGTTTGTGTCTCGGGCATCTCTCCCGAAGAAGCTTGGTGTCAGTGGTTCCCGTGCTGCTCCGCCATCACCAACCATCTCACTGCTTTCAACCTCCGCCATGATCACCAGTTGGTGACGGTCATTTCAGCCACTGTGGGCTCTTTCTCGGCCTCAATGGCCGATGAACTTTTCTAGGTGTGTAACCGAAGATCTATCATCTCCCTCTTCGCATCTTGCTCCCTCTGCCGTCTTCATTGTCCGACCACCAGTTTCACTTATGTAATCACGGATCCGCCGCTTTACTCAAAGTCTTCCATTTTTCTATTCGCTGGTCCGGTGAACATCTCAAGTGCATCATTATTTAAGGTATCAATCTCCTCATTTAAGGAAAGAGTGTTCACGGTCATTAAAAAACCTTCCTCCATCATGACCATGAAGAGACCCCCTTCCTCCTCCAAGGAGAGATTTTCGTCCTCCTTCAAGGAGAGATCCTTGTCTCAAATCTCAGATCTGCGACATGCCAAGGTTCGCCCCATCTGTTGCAGCTGGAGAGGTACTCTCCATAGACGAGTCCTTGCCGCTTATCGCCATCAACCTTCCCGCCGCATAGGAGATTTTCTCCGACGAGCTTCAAATTGGGCATGGGGCACTCATCTGCATTATTGGGCTTTCCCTTGTGGAAATGCCCATTTAGCAATCCAGCAGCTTCATCTTTTTAATGGGTTTTATTTTGGAGAAAAGCCCAGCAAACAGTACATCAGCTCCATTGATCGCTAAACACAGCTTAGGTATGTACTGTCTTGCACCTTCCTCCATCACAATGGAGAGATCAATTTCCTCCTTATGGGAGAGATCGTTTTCACCCTCCTCCTCTTTTGAGGAGAGAATCTTACCTTCACCATACCTCTTGTTGGGAGGTGTGTCTTTCCCGGTCTTAAAACCGAGGAAACTTTCAAACTCGCTATCCGACCTGTCATCCTGTGTAGCGGTTTGTATGGGGCCAGAAGATGCAATGGGATCCGTTTCGATGAGATCCGACGGTATAAGCGGTTTTTCAACGTCACAAGTGACTATTTCTCAGCCTTCCGGCTTTGCGGGTAATATGCTATCGACGTATCCAATGGTGGATTCACTGCCATTCTATCATGGAGATTACTTTGTGTTAATCTTTGTCACTTTCAATTTTTATTGTATTAGTCTAAGAGCTCCTTTCTTTTCATGTAATCCGAAAGTTTAAGTAATGAAATCAAGTGTTTGAACAAAAAAAAAAGTATTAATGTTGGATCAATTTTTATAAGCTATTTGGGCTGCATTCTTTTTTTTTTTTCGTAAAAAAATTGAAAGATGTGAATAAGAAATGAGTTTTTGGACTCCTAAGCCATAAGGATATTGGTTGAATGTTTATGAATGAGAAATGGAGCATAGTAGATTTGAATTAGGGCTTAAATTTGTTAATTAGACTTTATGCCTATTAGTTTATTTATTAGACCAAAAAATCATGTTCTTGGGTGATGCAAGACAGTTTAGTTGCAGTTTTATCCTGGGATTCAGAATGCCATGCAACTGTTATATTATGGGGTGTTTACAGAATTAAGAAAAGAAATTTGTCGTTGAAGCAGAGGAACTAAGGAAACTGTCCTTGATTCAGTGAAATATAACACTAAAGTGAGGGCAGAGATTCTTCGTAACAAAGATGCTTCGTAGGATTGTTGTTAGATGATACACAGGCTCGGCCCAAGTGGGTAAAGCAGAAGTGTGACGGCCCATGAATCTAAAATTTTTATGATATTGTTTTTTAAGATTATTGAGTCTATTTTATGGATTTAATTTTTTTTTGGGTCTATTTATAGGTCTTCATTAGATCTATTTATGGGTCTAAATTGTTTTTGCTCTAAAGCTTTTCAAATTATTAGACTGGATCTGATGATACATGATAGAGAAAGCTGGCAAGGAATGTCACATTCAATGGATGAATATTGAATGGATGAAGTTGTTTTTTCAAACGCTTTATTTCCAAAAGAATTTTCAAAACAAATGAAATATGGAATAGATGTTCTAATGAAGTTGGACCTATTTCACCATTTTCTGGGTAAAAGTTCGTAACCAATGGTTTAAATTGATTGTATTGTATCAACGATTCAAAGTATTATAACAAAAATATTATATATGATTTTTGTTTGATCTAATATGTGTCTTTTCTATTTCACTTTATAGGTCGTTTTTAAAAAAACTGAACAAATTATAAGAAATTTTTTTTCGGTCGGAGAGGGGAAGACAATGTCTCCCCCAAATTTATTCATAAAATAAAAAATTACAATCTCACATTGCGGGGTCTCGTAAAACCATTCGCATCGTCTACCATAATTGAATTAACACAATCCGGACAAGAATAAAAAAACTGAAAACCTAAAGGCATGGAAAATGAATAGTTTGCCAATCCATCGGCTAGACGATTGGCCTCCCTATACACATGTGAAATACGGACTGTCCAGTCCTTCATCAACAAGCCATAGCACAGACGTACTAGGAATGACAGCGGATGAGTATCACCTATCCCTGTCGTAAGATAACCAACCACCACTTGCGAATCCACTTCAAGCTCCACTCTACTAGCTCGACGCTCCCATGCTATGTATAAGCCATAATAAACACCCCATAATTCCGCCATTGGAGCCGAACATATCCCTATGTTAAGTGCAAACCCGCCACACCACAAACCATGCTCATCACGGAGGGCACCTCCCGCACATGCCAAACCTGGATTGCCCCGAGACGCCCCATCCGTGCTCAGCTTCAACCAGCCCGCGTTCGGAGGACTCCAAGCAATCTGCTTCTCCACCGTGAGTACCTCCTTCGGACCTCTACCCGCCACCACATGAGCGTGATAAACCTCCTTCGCTTTATCCTCAATAAAACGTATGCGGTCCCTGCATTTAAAACTCTCACCAAACACATTCCAACATCACCACTTCCATCCCCACCAAACTCCCATTCCGAAAGTTACTGCCCACGGGATCTCCATTTGCAAACTCATATCCCCCAAATTGGTAAATATCCATTCCCATAAAGTTTGCTTAAAGAACAATTCCTTCTTTCTTGGCGACACGAAACGCTCCCAAATCCCGGACATCGCTGGACAATCTCTTAGCACATGGAGAATAGTTTCTATAGCGGATAATTATAGGTTGTTTTAGCATTGATTTTAATTGTTTCAAATTAAGTGTCACTTTTGATTTCAGCGTAGTCTTTTAGGCAGAAATTTTTTTATTTTTTTTACAAAGGGTTTCCATTTTTATAGATTTTTAGTTTTTTGAAAATTATAAGAGCATGTGAGCTAAGCCCAAAATTAAAGAAATAAAAAAAGAAATTAAACAAGACCCAATAAAGTCAAACAGACCCGATTTAGATCTAAATTTTTAACCAAAAAATCTATAAAACCAACTTAAACCGGAAACACTCAAACCCTAAGCGAAAACAACTCATTCACAGTCGCTGTCACATTTCGCCAAGGAGAAATCGAACCACCGGGAAGACCTGAAACTGGAATAAAAGATCCAGGAGAAGAAAAAGCAAGAAAAGTTTTGGATGGAGGAGAAAACTGATCCAGAGCAAATCCAAAAGACCGCCAGTGGGAGGAGAGTCCATACCACGCCTAGCGATCCTCGAGAAACCTCCGTCGCCGTGTTCAGGCCCCATTAGAAAAGCTCCTTTCATGAACCCATTTGTGCCCTCTAACAAACAGTCTTACTCATGAGTTTCCAATAGTTCAAGCTTCCAACCCAAACCGCCACATCTAAACTCAACACTCTCGCTACAGCCGCCGTCAGGAACACCCTTAGGGAACACGAGAGGAGAGATCGACCGAGATACGACAGCGGTGCTTGAGAAGCTTCACCCGATCTTGTCCTCATCAGATCAGAGATCCGCAAAGCACCACCGCCACTAATCTCATGCCGAACCGCTGCAGCAACGCCAAAAAAATCCAGATCTGCCATCAACTCAGGGAAGGTGAAGCACAAAACCGAGGATGAAGCACATGCCAAAAGAGAAAAAGAAAAAAAGAAAAAGAGAAAGCCCTTTCCGGCGAAGCAAACCACCGGAGAGGCAAGGAGGCTTAGAAAAAGGAAGAACTAGAGAGAAAGGAGAGAGGAGAGAGAGGCTGCTTAAAAGCGGAGGAATAACCTGAAACACTCCTTTGAGGAATTATTTATTCAGACATATACCTCTTCATTCTCTCGTACCTCTCGCGGGTCCCTCACCTTTTAATGAACTTGAAAATATCGAAGTAGCCCTTGTAATTTTCTATAGAAGAAAATTAGAAACAGAAATTCGGCCAATGATAATTAAGCATTGATGAACCAATGAAAAGCGGTGTGTGAGCCAAAACTCGCACAACCAGAAATTTGTTTAAGGAAAACTAAGGGATCGGAAACTTCTAGGGTTTATCGTAAAAAACAGTAAGATCGAAAGAAAGCTTTTCTTGCTGTAAAAGAGTTTAGCTCTTATTGCTTAGGGTTGCAAAAGTTACAGAATGAATTGTATACATCATCTATTTATACTAATTCTCAGAACCGCCTAGCCGAGAATCTCGGGAGAGATTTTCGGAATATTTCCTTATCGCCTCGTGCGGCTCACCGCCTTTGTATTTCGCCTAGGGTTTTTATTGGCTTCGTCTCTCAAAGCCTTGGTTCAGCCCATCTGAACTTTTCCACGGCTCGGCCCATCTAACTTCTCCACGGCTCGGCCCACTTGCCATTTTAGTCGAGACATGATCCGGTCCACCTCACCGAGGCGCGGCTCGGCCCAGGCATGTTGGAGAGGGGCTCGGCCCATTTCTTACGATACGGCTCGGTCCATCTACCTTTCTTCACGGCTCTCCCTACTGGTCTATCTTCACGGCTCTCCCACTTGGTGATCGCGGCTCTCCCACTTGTCTTGGTGGGAACGGCTCTCCCACTTGTCTTGGTGAGAACGGCTCTCCCACTTGTCTTTGGTGAGAACGGCTCTCCCACTTGTCTTTGGTGAGAACGGCTCTCCCACTTGTCTTTTTTCCATACTTAGTCATTTTGAGATGGTTTTATCTGCTTGGGGTGAAAACCGACCCCAACAGTTAGCCCCCCAGCTCGTCAGTTTCGGAGGTGAGAGTGACGAGGTCCATTACTCCTGACCGTAGGATAAACCATCGAGTCAAGCTGTTATGATGTAAGCCCAGATGAGGTGTTTTGGGAATGAAGACGTCGAGGCGTTCCCAACGAGTGCCGAGGGTGCCGAGGTGTTTCGAAAGGGTACCAAAGATGTCGAGGCAAGTTAAAGACGAGGCGATTTCGTTTAGTAATGATGAGCCGAGGCGAGGCGATTTGAGAAGGTTATGCCGAGCCGAATAAATGGCGAGGCGTTTTGAGAGAAAGTTTGTGCCGAGCTGTTTCGTTAACGACGAGGCGTTTCGAGAGAAAGAGTTAATGCCGAGCCGTTTCGTTAACGATGAGGCGTTTCAAGAGAGAAAGAGTTAATGCCGAGCCGTTTCTTTAACGACGAGGCGTTTTGAGAGAGAAAGAGTTAATGCCGAGCCGTTTCGTTAACAACGAGGCGTTTCAATAGAGAAAGAGTTAATGCTGAGCCGTTTCTTTAAAGACAAGGCGTTTCGAGAGAAAGTTCGTGCCGAGCCGTTTTGTTAACGATGAGGCGTTTCGAGAGAAAGTTCATGCCGAGCCGTTTCGTTAACAACGAGGCGTTTACTTTGGTAAGATACCTGCTGAAAACTTGGGTATCCCAACTGTTGGTCTTCTAAGAGAAAATTCCTGATCTATTGGCGCGTGTGACCGACGCAGTTCGGTCTAGCCATTTCACTGCGGATCCCACGCGCTGTTTGGACGGTTTCCGAGGTTTACGCGGAATTCACGCGCTTCGGTTTTCCTATAAATGGGTGAGCTCCTTCATTCTTCCTCATTATCTTCAGACTCACTCGTTTTTACTAAAGGTAGCTCTCCCTTCTCTCTTCTTTCTCTCTCTAGTTTATTTATTTTCCGGCTAGGGTTTCCGAGGTGTCCGCCGTTCCAGATCTTTTTCCGGCAGAGGCTCGCCGAGTCGTGCTGTAACTCTTGTATAAGTCGTAAATTATGTCGAGCCGCTCCGACGATTCGTTGGATTCACTTTTTCGTTACGAGCCGAGCCGCGTAGATGCTGAGGCGAGAGGTACGACAGAATCCTCCGAGGCGTCTGTTTCGCCGAGCCCCTCCAATCGTTCATCTGACGAGGCGTCAAATCATGCAAATCCGTCAGATGTCGGCTCCCAGATGACGAGCCGTCGGTTTCGACGAGCCGTCCCCAGGGTCCCGTTCCTGATGAAGACATTAATCGCGCCGCACTTAAGGCCGAGGAGGAGGCATTTCCCTTTGACCTTTTCGAGGCGAAACGTGAATTGGAACGTCTCATGGCGTCCCGAGGCGCTTCCACATCTGGGCGAGGGCCACGAGTTAAGAGACAAAAACCTGACCCGCCTGGCTCTACGCTTTGCTCCCTTGAGTCGCTCGAGGCGTTGAGGCATCGCTTCGGGATATCCGAGGCGGTGGAGTTCGTCGTTCCAGAGAAGAGCGACCGAGCCGACAAGCCTCCAGAGAATCATTTCACTCTGTACGAGGCGTTCTTCGGAGTGATCCTTGAATATCTCTGGAAACACGGGATCTCGATTGGGCAAATCATGCTGAGGGGATTACGGCATATGATTGGCATCTTAGTTCGAAGCTTCGAATGCGGACATGATATCGAGCTGAATCACCTGCTAAACTTGCTGGAAATCAGGAAAGCTCCGAAAGGAAATAAATTCTATATTTCCAACAAGGCGAAGCGATGGGTCATCGGCGGTTTTCCCAGCAAGGATCAGTTTTGGACTGAAAGCTTCTTCTACGTCTCGGTGAACGAGGCGTCGGTCGGCGAGGATTACGTTCAAAGAACCAAGACCGCTTGGGGACCACTTGGTAGCCGACCCGAAGCTTTGCCTCGGCTCGGAACAGTTTTTTGGTATCCTCTTCCCTTACTGAAAATTTTCTTTTTTGCTTTGTTTTGCAGTTCAGTGCTTTCTTCCCCCGATTCCCGACGACCTCTTTACTGTCTGAGACTCTATTTCGGCGCGGAAGGTTAATTGGAGGAAGAATTTCACCCTCGAAAGAGTGGAAAAAGCGCGAGCCATCCTTGCCGGAGTCCCCGTCAGCTCTTCGTCCTCCAGTTCTTCAAGAGATTCTCGAGAGAAAATGGTGATAATCGCTCTCAGAGAAAGGAAGAGGCGCGAGGAAGAAGAGGCCGCGAGACAAGCTGCCGAGGCGGCTCAAGAGCAGACCGAGGCGGTTCCAGCGCAAACCGAGGCCATCCCTGAACCCGACCCGCCGACCCGGGAAGGAGACGAAATGGTCCGAGCCGCAGAAGGCAACACTGCTGAGGCGGTCGAGAGAGATGCAGCGCCCGAGGTGGAACTGGGCGAAATTATTCCCGAGGCATCAGGGGACGATTCAGCGGTGCGGAGCAAAACCTTCGAACTCCGCCATTTTAGCCCTCCTGAAGTCGACGAGGCCCCCGACTTCAGTCGTTCAGAAACATGACCCGAGCCGAAAACGTTCGGCCGCTGACAAGGGGAAGGGCGTTGCTGTTCAGAAGGACGAGCCGTCCAAGAAGAGGCGGAAGCCGACGCCCGGGGACCCCGCCGCGCGCAAGTTGGTCGTCGACGACCCCGACGCCTCTGCCGTCATGTTCTCGCATGTAAATAACACGAACACGCGTCTTCCTCCTCTGGAGAAGTTGAGCAGGCCGAGGTCGTACGGCGCGATGGCACAGCCCGGTACCAAGGTACGTTCTATTTGCTTTCCTTTATTTTCGCAAATTTTTACTAAGTGTTTAACGCGAGTTTGTTCTTTGCAGTTTGTCGCGGCCATTAACGACCTGATGGCCGAGTACGAGGCGGACTTGTCTAAGGTCGAACGTCGCTTGGCCGAGGCCCGAAATGAGACCGCGGCGTCAAAGGCGAAGCTGGAAGAGGCTCAGAACAAAACCGCAGCGGCAAAAGAGAAACTGGATGAGTCGGTGGCCAGGGCATCCAAGCTGGAAGAGGAGAAGATCGTTCTGCGTGCCAATGTTGACAAGGTCTCTGCCTGGTCATTCGCCTCGAGGTGGCGATGCTGAAGAGGCGTATCGAGGCCAAGGACGCCTTGTTCGATGCCAAGGTCAAGCGGGCGAAAAGGAGGCAAGGCGAGAGCTTACGGAGAAGTTTCAGCTCGCCAAGGTGGAGGAGGGTTTGGCCAAGCTCGAGAAGGCCAAAAATGACGAGAACGATCTGGGGCAAATCAAGGGAAACCTTGCGATGATTGCCGTCCTGAAGAAACCAGACGCCCCGACGCTCGATGATGAGGAGGCGCAGCTAAAGAGCTGGGAGAGCGAATATGCCGACGACGACGTGTATGAGCTTATTACCTCCGAGATCCGAGGCGAGCTGGTTTTCTCACCCGTATCGCCGGACTCGGTCGACACCAGCCTTGGTAACGAGCCGCTCGAAGAGACAGCGGCCAACTTAAGCGTCGTAGATCCGAACGGATCGAACGCGGGTACGCCGGTCTTCTCGAACCTCCTTGCCGAGCGTGAAACGCAGTCCGCGGCCTGATACTCTCTGCTTTTCCCTGTTTTGTCTTTCATGCTTCTGTACTTAGGATTTTTATCTGCTTTTTGAACTTTTTATGTAACCGGTGCCTGGACGGCTTTATCCACCTGACATTTATTTTTGCTTATGGGTATATTCTCTTTTCTTTATTCGTTTTAGGATTTGATGCACTTATTTTAAACGATCTGTGCAAATATCTGTGAAAACCGTTGGCTTAGAGAAAATTGTCGAGGATAAAAATTGCTGTGTCGAGAATGATTTTGATTGCTTCCTTAGCCGAATTCTTCGAAATCGATAGAAATACGGCCTAAGGGTTGAGTCGTTTAAGGATCTTGTTTGGATTCTTAATCCCGAGCTGGGAGTTAGTTTTGTGGAACATCTTTTTGGTGATGCTGGAAAGTTTTTAAGTGATAATGTCGAGGCAAATTTTTGCTGGCAATGCTGAGCCGTATTTAACGACGAGGCATTTTCGCTGTGCATGGTGCCGAGCCGTGTAAACGACGAGGTGTTTTTTCTTTGCGTGGTGCCGAGCCGTGTACACGACGAGGCGTTTTTCTCGTTGGGTGGTGCCGAGCCGTGTAAACGACGAGGCGTTTTCGCTTTGCATGGTGCCGAGCCGTGTAAACGACGAGGCGTTTTTTCTTTGCGTGGTGCCGAGCCGTGTACACGACGAGGCCTTTTTCTCGTTGGGTGGTGCCGAGCCGTGTAAACGACGAGGCGTTTTCGCTTTGCATGGTGCCGAGCCATGTAAACGACGAGGCGTTTTGTTTTTGTTAGCCAAGGATGAATTGGTAGTCTCATTGAATCTGACTATGGACCGGTGTTTCCGAGAGGATGAGTATGTTTGTCCGGGTTTTAAGAGTTTACTTCGGTTTTAGAGAAAGCGATGTAGTCTCGACTTATATTCTCGTGTGCGATAGTAAACCGTGGCAACTTGATACGTTTTTGGTCTGATACTTGTATAGCGCGCTTAATTTTTATCCGTAGAGGATGTAACTTGCACCCTTGTCCTAGGAAAGGTGGTAAAAGTCCGTTTAGAGAACTTTGTATTTGTTGCCCCATTGTGGCCAGCAACGAGACGAGGCGTTCGGAGGCTTAGTTTGCTAAACTGAAACTGAGGACCGATTAAGGTCTGAGGTAATCAGGTCATGATATCATGCCGAAGTGGTATGATTACTCGCCGAAGTGATGAGTGAAAGAATTTAAAACCCCGAACTTGTTAGGATAAGTTGCTGATTTAGAAAAAATGAGAAACTAGCCGAAGCGATAATGAATGAACTAGAAATCCAAGGTAAACATGAAATAAGTAGATGATTCAAAACGAACTGAGAATGTGCCGAAGTGGCGATGTTCCTAAGTGAGCAAGCTAAAATTATTGAGTTAAAGGAGGTATGCGTATACGTACCCACTCCCCCCCTTTTTAGGAGGGGGGACAGCTGAACCCGTCCGAGGACGGGCTGCCTACGTACCCTTTGCAGGGATCAAGCCGTCCCGTAGTTCATGCTGGTCATGCTGTAGCTTTAGTGATAATACTTCTTTAGATGCATTGCGTTCCATGATCTTGGAATCGCTTCGTCAGCTAGTGTCGCGAGTTCGTAGAATCCTGGACGAACCACTTTTGTGACCTTGTAAGGACCTTCCCAATTTTCTCCGAGCTTTCCTGCGTTCTTCTCGGCAGTGTTTTGAAAGACCTTTCGGAGGACGAGCTCCCCTGTTTTGAATCTTCGGCTACAAACGTTTTTGTTGTAGTATCGCGCCGTTGCTTGTTGATAGTTCTGGATTCAAATTAAGGCTTGGTCGCGCTTTGTCTATACACACCGAGTCCACCGCGTCGCATGCCGGCTCAGCGCGTGTTTCGCGGCTCTCCGTGATCTGTAATTGCTATAAGAGCTTCGAGAGCTCGTTTGCGGGCTCTCGGTCTGTCTTCATCTTTTTGCGGTCTATGTCTGCTCGTGAGTCGGTGACGGGGTTCCTCAGCCTGGGCTCGGGTCGCTCTTTGGGTTCGCCTCTCCTGTCGTGCTTGGAGTTATCGCCTCGTCGGGAAGGATTCGCGGGTTCCGCCGCGCCGCTCGGCTCGGCTCTTTCTTGCGGTTCATTAGGGACGAGGTCTTTGAGGTTGACCGCGTTTTGGAGCTCTCCCGCTGCCATATTAGCCACGAGTTTCGCTCCTAGGGTTCGGCATTGTGCCGTTGAGTGCCCGTAGGTCTGGTGATACTCGCAGAAATCCTTCTCATCGTAGTTGGTGGATTTTCTCACCCAAATGTTGTTGCGCGGCTCTCCTCTTCCGCGTCCGGTGCCTACCTGGTAGTTATGGACACCTCCGCTTCTAGGTTCATCCGAGCTCTGCGTTGTTGTGTTGCTCGATGGGTTGCCCTTCTTCGCGGGGCACGGCAAAATTGAGCTTCGTATTGCTGCTTTCGTTGCTTCGTACTGCTCGTCCAAGTTTTTCATTTCCTCCTCGTTTACGACGAAGTCTGATGATCGGTGCAAAGCGTCTTGAATTGTTTGCGGCGTGTTGAGAGCCATCTCCCGTCGGAACTCGGATTTGTACTACAAAGATCGTTTCAGAGCCTCGAGCGCAGCCTTGTCGCTTATCCCTTCTATTTTGGATACGACTGCCTTGAATCTTGCCATGTAATCCCGAAGCGGTTCGTTAGGTCTTTGAGATAACGTCCATAGATCGGCGTCGGAGGTGCCTCGGTCCATGAACATCGAGTACTGCTTCAAGAACAAGGCGGAGAGCTGCTGGAAGCTGTTGATCGAATTACGTCCTTGAGATAGTGCCATAGGTCGGCATCAGATTTTCCTCTGTCCATAAACATCGAGTATTGTTTAAGGAACAAGGCGGAGATGTTGAAAATTGCCGATTGAATTTCGTTCCTGCCTCGAAAACCACTCAAGTGCGGCTCCCTTGAGATGCTCCACGAAGAGCAGGCAGTATCCGGCATCTACTTCGCGCTCGGTGAGTTTAGCGGCGTTCTTTGTGAAGGCTCGTCCCATTGCTATCCGAAACGCTGTGATGTGTGCTTTCGGATCGGTTGTTCCTTCGTAGAACGGGATTCTCACTTTCCCCGGCTCGGGAATCCTGGCCTCCGTGATTCTTGCAGTGAATTGGGTTCTCTGAGTTTCTTCAAGCATTCGGTCAATTTCGGACGCGGCGCTTGTCGCGTTGTGCACTTGGGATTTCATGGCGCGTATTTCAGCTACTGTCCGAGCCATCGAGGCTCGCAGCTCTTTGAGTTCGAGAGTTTGTGCGTGAGTCATTCCCTTTGATTGGGGGGTCGCTCCCGCTCCTCTCTCCTCGGCTCGTCTACGCGCTCTGCCTGCTCAATCCATTGGAGGTTTTCTTCCTCCTCGGTTGGATTGTCGCCGCGGGTCGGATCGGAAACTTCGTCAGTTCGGACGCCGTTTAGCGCCGATGTAAGGTCTTCTTGACTTATTCGCCGAGCCGGTTTGTTGCGGATTCGTGGTTCCGTCATTCTGCTGGGCGTCTACGTCGATCGCATCGTTTTCTTCTTCGCCGGCTCGTCGCCTTGAGTTTCGGCGGAGAGGGGGCGGCTCGGTCATGTTGACTCGGGTCGCCACGGGGGTCTGTTCGTCGAGGAGACGAGACATTGGAGGAGCCGAGGGGTTTCTTGCGCCGCTCCCTGAGGCTTCTGCAGGTGTCGAGAAATCGAAGCGTCTCCGGATACCATCCATCAGGTCGGGAATTCCGGCTCTCCAAGTTGGGTGTAGTCGCTCAGCCGCCATCGCGTCGAGCCTCTCCGTAATCGCCTTGTTTCTTTTATCCTGTTCGTCGATTTTCTTCATCAACGCAACCATCATGTTTCGCATCTCCTCTTGGGTTTCGATCGTTGCCGTCGTTGTGCCCGATGCCGGAGCGTCCTTCTCCGCGCCGTTACCGGTGTTGTTGTTGTTGTTATCGTCGGGGGTGTTGCTCGTTCGGATCTTAAAGTCTTGTCGATTTAGAGTAAGAAAGTTTCGAATCCCCACAGACGGCGCCAAATTGTGTGAGCCAAAACTCGCACAACCAGAAATTTGTTTAAGGAAAACTAAGGGATCAGAAACTTCTAGGGTTTATCATCAAAAACAGTAAGATCGAAAGAAAGTTTTTCTTGCTGTAAAAGTGTTTAGCTCTTATTGCTTAGGGTTGCAAAAGTTACAGAATGAATTGTATACATCATCTATTTATACTAATTCTCCGAACCCCATAGCCGAGAATCTCGGGAGAGATTTTCGGAATATTTCCTTATCGCCTCGTGCGGCTCACCGCCTTTGTATTTCGCCTAGGGTTTTTATGGGCTTCGTCTCTCAAGGCCTTGGTTCAGCCCATCTGAAATTTTCCACGGTTCGGCCCATCTAACTTTTCCACGGCTCGGCCCACTTGCCATTTTAGTCGAGACATGATCCGGTCCACCTCACCGAGGCGCGGCTTGGCCCAGGCATGTTGGAGAGGGGCTCGGCCCATTTCTTACGATACGGCTCGGCCCATCTACCTTTCTTCACGGCTCTCCCTACTGGTCTATCTTCACGGCTCTCCTACTTGGTGTTCGCGGCTCTCCCACTTGTCTTGGTGGGAACGGTCTTGGTGAGAACGACTCTCCCACTTGTCTTTGGTGAGAACGGCTCTCCCACTTGTCTTTGGTGAGAACGGCTCTCCCACTTGTCTTTCTTCCATACTTAGTCATTTTGAGATGGTTTTATCTGCTTGGGGTGAAAAACGTTTCTTATTTGGAAACTTTTAAGAAACGTTTCTCTTGCCACGTGGCTGCTGGTGAGTGGATAAAACTTTAAGGTCAAGCATCTTCAAGATCGTCTTCTCCATCTCAGCTCTGTACATCTCCTTCTTCATCGCAAGCGCTTCTTTATCAACAAAATACGAGCTCCGGCTCTCTTCTTCGACTCTGGCGAGACGACATAAGTATACTGTACCGATGTCTCCAACACTGATTCATCGCATGAGGCGAGATTAAAAATCTGGGAGTAAGTGTAACTGCTAAGAA